AAGGCCAGAATGCAGTCCAGGGGATGTAGTCTCCTTAATCAGAATCCCCGAAACTCATGAATACCTGTTGCTGCTTTCATCAAGAATCTTAGAGCCAAGGTCTATTTTTATGTTTCTTGGTTCTTCTGATCTGCTTGCTCTGCCCCAATTTCTGTCCAGTGGGGGCGCAGACATTGAGACACAGTGAAAGGCACCCCAAATGTGTGTATTCTGATGCTGGCTGCTCCCCAAGGCTGGAACGTGCTTGCAGATAATGTATCTTGGCTTATGTACTGCAGCCTCCAGCCAATCTGATTACTTTCCCCCTCTGGGGCTTTAAATCAAGGGTGGTGCCTGAGAAATTAAATTGCTCTTCCCAAGGCTTCCTCTGGCCAGGGCCTGGCTGTCTGGCAGAGGCTGATGTGCCTGTGCGTGGGGGTGGGGAGGGCGGGGTAGGGATGGAGGGAGGCGGCTCAGCGGGCTCACCCACCCCGCAGGATCCGCAGGGCCTGCCACTACATCGTGAACCTGCGCTACTTCGAGATGTGCATTCTCCTGGTGATCGCAGCCAGCAGCATTGCCCTGGCGGCCGAGGACCCCGTCCTGACCAACTCGGAGCGCAACAGAGTGGGTGCACGGGGCCCTTTGCCAACCTCCCTAGTGCCTCCCCATCCCAGTGGGGGTCCCAAGGGCATCTGTCAGGAGATAGGAGGGAGGTGGGGAGAATCGAAACTGACAAGGATTTCAGACTCTGAGCCAGAACTGAGAGGAAAGGTTTGCAGGCCAATTGAGACCTAAGGAGTTAAGTTCTGGCCAAGAGGAGGGAAGGGCCCAGGACTGGCCACCACATTATGCGGCTCTAGCAAGACCCGTGGCTCCTCATTTCTCTGCCTCCCGCCTGTGGTTAAAATTCCAAGCTTTTGTTCTGCAGTGGAAATGGGGGGGGGGCTGGTGGGCGGGCCAGACCGCATGTCTCCATGGGCAGGCAGGAGTGTGTGGAGCCTGGTGGCCACACATAAGCTCTTCCCCTCCACTGTATGTATCTTACAGGTCCTGCGGTATTTTGACTATGTTTTCACTGGCGTGTTCACCTTTGAGATGGTTATAAAGGTAAAAGCCTCTAGAAGAAACCTGGGTGGGGTTTGGATGGGTTGCCTCTCTGCTCCTGTAGCGTAGTGACCTTCCTCAATGCTGTCACCTACTGGCCAATGACAGAGCCTCAGTGCGGCCTCTGCAGACCCCTTCTCTGGCCCCAGGATCCTGATGAAGTCTATCTGGCAGGATGTGACTGGAGAGGGCTATTTAGACTGGGGCAGACCTGTGGGTGTGGCCCTCTCAGAAGGCAGTGGGAGTGCAGACAGACTGAGGACAGCAGTCACCTCCCCAGCGCTCACTGGTTTGAACCTGGGTATGTACCAAGGCAAAGGGTCAGGCAGGGTTGAGTTTCCTGGATTCTGTCCAGTCCTGGCTGCACTCACTCTCCTCTAGTCTGTCCCCCATCACCCTAACACCCACATTTCTATCTCACTCCCAGCCTTACAGATTTTCCCCATCTGTGAGTATGTGGCGATGCTCTGAGCCACTGAGCAAAGGAGGAACATTGTCAGGGTTCTGTGCCAGCTCAGGAGTGTAGTTGAACCCTGGTGGCTTCACAGTTACATGAAGAGAGCCTGTCCTCTGCTCTTCAGGTCCCACGTGGGGTTGGTTGTAGGGATGATGGCAATGGAGGCATTGCCATGGGGACCCCAGAGCTCAGGGCACACGTTGCCCCCACATCCTGGCTCATCGGTGGCTGTCTACTTCCTCTGCAGATGATAGACCAGGGCTTGATTCTACAGGATGGTTCCTACTTCCGAGACCTGTGGAACATCCTGGACTTTGTGGTGGTAGTTGGTGCGTTGGTGGCCTTTGCTTTGGCGTAAGTAACTGTCTTTCCTATTGGATTACCTTCCCTCCCTCCTTTCTGAGACCTTGGCCAATTGGAGGCCATCTCCAGGGCCAGCCTGAGAAATGATTCGTGCGGAGTGGTCCCTGGGAATGCTGCCCCGGTGGACCCTTGCAGAGCCCTTAGAGCACTTTAACTTCAGCTCACATGCCCTGAGTGACAGGGCTGGTAAAGGAGGAACAGGGAGAGTCACTAGGGAGAAGTCAGAGGCCTGGAGTTCCTTTCTTGGAGATGAGTAAGCTTGGGCAGGCACTGACCTGTGTGGGCAGTGCCTCATGGGCTCAGGGAGGGACCCAAGTGTGGCTGATGGACCCCTTCATTGCTTGATTTTATCAAATAGAGGGGCAGCTTGAAAGAAATATGCAGAGGGTAGAGCGAAGTTGAGGATCACAGAATCCTCGCCGGGGGGTTGTAGGGGTTCTCTGCTCATGAGCAGGGGTACCCCGAGCTATGCGAAGGACATAAGAGCCCTGTTACTACATTTAACTCCAAGAGGAAAGACTTTCCCAACTGTCCTTGATAAGACACCTGGGAAGACACTCTTAAACCCTGATTCAGGGGACTAAACCATGTTCATTTTCTTTGGGGAATTTTTTTTTCAAACATTGATCCAACTGTAGAAGGTTTTCAAACACATTCTGACCTTTCCTCTGGAATCCAGCCAGGGAAGGGGCTCTCCCAGGCCTCCAGGGTGTGGCTAGGACATGGGCATGTCATCAGGACCTCTTTTCTAAGCGGATGTGTGGAGTGCCCCAGAGAGGGAGTGACAGCCTTGGGGCTCTGTCTGCACCTGTTTCACTGCCAGAGCAGCTTCACTCTCCAGGTGGCACAGCAGAATCCCCTCCAGCCTCTGAGTACTAGAGGGAGCAGGTCTTTTAAGGGAGGCTGGCTGCATGGTATGAAGGGACAGAGAAAGCCTTTGGGAGCGGCTGTCATTGATGGCAACTACAGAAGGGAAGGAATAAAATATCTCCATAGGTTTGACCATCCCAGTTCCCAGTGTTTGAAAGGGCTCACCTGTGCCACCTTCTCCCAAGCACGCGTCCTGCTGTGGCGGGGGCCTGCCCAGTGTCACATACATTTTCCATTAGCGTATGCATTGTTTCTGTGGTGGCTGAAGGGAAATTTGTCTTCTCTAGAGCTGCATATATCAAGTGAAGGGACTCTTTATAATGTAAACCTGACAAATTCCGTCTGGAAACTTTATGACTTTTGAGGTGGAGGAGGCAGGGGATTTATACGTGTGGGCTGCTTACCAGGGGCTCAGAAAAGCAATGGGAAGATGCCTGCATTGCACCTCTCCTGTTCTTCCCGGTCCACTTTTACATTATAAAGCATTTATAAGAACACTCAGGCCTCCTTCCTAAAGCCCCGTACCTGGCTGTGCAGGGAGGTGGGCAGGGTGCTGGCGGAGGTTGGGGATGGCTCTCCCTCGTTCCATTGCCCACAACATCCCACTTTCCTGGCCATATGTAGACTCGGTGTTGCCGGCTATAAATGTGCCTATTGTGCCTTCTCCTCTTTGAGGTTTCAAAAGAAGCCTGGTGAGTGACTGGATCTCTGAAACCTTCCCTTCATCTTCTGCTTTCTGCAAAAGGGGGATTGTTCTGTCTGATCTTTATTTTGCACTGGAGGACCAGAAACTTTCTCCCAGTTTCCTCACACCCCATTGCCATCACCTGGGCTCCTGGGTGGCAGAACAGAGGTGGTTCCAGCCTTGGCATTTCTGGGTATCAGCACGCCAGGCAAGTTCCCTCCCTTAGGGGCACCCTCCACCTCAGACTTGGCTGGCTTGTAGGGAAGTCCTGTGGCCACTGCACCAGGTCGAGTTTGTGGGCCTTCTGGGATCCTGCGTGGTGGTGCAGTGCTGTCTGGCCCTTAGGTTTTGGGTTCTCAGTGTTTAGTGAAGGGCTTTGGGCAGGCAGGTGGGCAGGGGACAGCATCTCAGGAGGGAATCAGGAGAGGAGTGGACCATGTGTGTGATCCTGCCCCCACCCCAGGCTCTCATGCTTTTCATTTCCATTGTTCTACACATGACTTGCCTGCCTCAAGTCAGGTTAGCCAGGTGAGCTCTCCTGCATTGGATTCTAAATAGTAAACTCACTGCTTATAGTGGCCTGCCAGCACAAATAGTTTAAAAGAAAAATAGCAATTCTGCTCCCACCTCCTCCCCAACATGGGCCTGGGCATCAGTGAGACTAATGCAGGCTCTGGCAGCTGATGCTGAAGTTTCCCATCGCTGTGCACCATCCTCATGGGGCAGGAGGTGAGGTCAGGACTCCCTGCCACGCAGGGGAGCTGGATCACAGCCGCTCTTGGCCTTTTATTACTCAGTCTGTAGCCAGAAAGGGAAAACATGAGTCAATCTGCCTCTTGATGCCAGAGGATCGGGAATCCCCACATTAGCTTTCATTAGAAGTGTGTCACTTTGCTGACACTGCCCTACAATGGATAAGGTCTCCGGAATGCATGCAGAGCCAGCTGCAGCGCCAGAGCTGGTTCTGAATTTGTTCAATGAAATACACAGGCACAGATGATTTCAGATTTGGAAGGGCCCTTAAGGAGCCACAGGATCTGGTTCTCTGACCTGGTTTAGCTTTGGGGGCTCTGTGTTTGCAAAGGTGTGAATGTGCACCCCTGAGAAAGGAGTGACTACTTAGAACTGAAATGCGAGTCTGTGCTCAAGCTCAGTAGAGCGTGGAAACAATAGAACCGCAGTCTCACCTGTCACTTGGCTGACTCTCCCTCTCGTTCACTGCCTGCCTGTGTCCAAGGCAGTCCCCCCCAACCCCAGGCTTTGCCTTTGGGGCTTCTTTCTTGGCAGCCCCCGTTCTTCTAGAACTGAAAGGGGCATCTCCCAAGGAAGCTGAGTGCACATCAATCTTGCCAGGGGGGACAGAAGAGTGGGCAAAGTTCTGCTTCATGCAAAGAAGACCCATTTACCACTGAGCAAGACAGGCCATCCTGTTCCACCATTCTGTGGAGGAAAATGAGGATTAAAATTAAATTTAGCTATCAGGTAGCCCATTAACTGTGGATTTAGGAAGCCGGCTGACCTGGAATTGGAAATTTCCAGCAGTGAGCAGGTAAAAAGATGTTGTTCTGCAAGACTAGCTTTAAGAGTCACCTTGAGAGTGACCTTACCTGAATTCACACCCAGGTAGGGACACTAAAGATGATTAATGTCTATGGACTCTTGGGGTGCCCAGTGTCATATTATACTCTAGTTGCCCTGGGAGGGTAGAGGGAGGAACAAAGTGAGGGTCACCTGGAGGGAGTACCTGAAAGAAAGAGAGTGCCCACTCTACCTGCTCTTGGCATTGAGTCCCAGTACGCGTGTATTGTCTGTTACATGGGTTGTTGGTGCTGTTGGAAAACCCTCTGTAGAGTGTGCACTTGGAGACCTTTATTATGTGAAGGCGATGGGTGTGAATGCCCAAGTATTCTCTTTATTAACAAGCACAGATTTGGGAGATGGTTGGTCGTAAATGGCATCTCAGCCTGTGGCCACAGAACCAAGCAAAATGAAATGGCCCAATCAGAGAACACGGCCCCATCCACATAGTAACCAACAGTATGGATCACGAGACCCAGAAGTTAGCACCCTGCGCAGGAGGGGAGCCTTCCCAGCCACAGGAAGAGCCAGATCCTGCAGGATTAGGAGAAACCAGTCACACCGCCCTCAAATTTAAAATTAGTTTTAGAATATTTCAGGTCAGAAGAGGTCATGATGGGACTTGGAAAGTGTCAGCTCAGATCATGTGACCTGCCAGCTGTCTGCTTAATCCACACTGGCAGAGGGACAGCCTAGCATTATGAATTAGTCTCCAGCTGGTGTGTGTGAGGGGGTGTATTGGCTGGACTTCAGCCAGCACGTAGACCTTCTTGGAAAAATCAGCATGTGAGGGGGTTTGGGGTGCTTAGAATATGAAGACTAAGAACCAAGACATCAGGTCACTAGACTGACCAGACTGAATAACAGATCTGCTAGGAGACAGTTCAGTGCTCTGCTGTCTCCTGCGGCTGCTCTGTGCTTGGACAAAAGTACCTTCCAGTTAGAGGATGGTGCTGTTTTGCAAAGGAGAAAGTTTGCAAAGGCAAACATGTGTTCAGGGAACTTGTTGAGGTCCATGTGCAAGAAGGAAATAATTCTGCACTAACCATTTAGGGTAGAGCTAGTGCTCTGGTCCCAGAGCAAAGAAAGATGGCAGAGGGTTTAAGAGCTCATGGGTGACCAGGAAATGCTGAGGTATGGGTCAGGAAGAAAAGTGACCCCACTTGGCCACAGCTGAGCAGTGACAAGGTCAAAGTGCTGGACGTCAAGTTCTCTCTCCAGAGACTAGCATGGCCAGTGCAGAGGGGAAACAAGCTGCATCCTTGTTTCCACGGGTCTTAGAATTTTTAAAGTGCTTTCACACCCTATGCCGTTTATCCCCGGACAGTCCTGTTTTACAGTTGAGAAATGGATTGCTTGAGGTTTAACTATTTGACTTATATGTACCAAAGCCAGTTCCTAAACTATTGCTTTTTTAAAATTTTATTTCAAGTTCAAGGCTTTCTCTGCAACACTAAGCTCCCCTCTATTTCTGATGTTCTAGTTAGTTCCAAGTCATTAACCCCTGTAAACTCGAAGTAGTGGCTTGGTGCAGATCTCTCCGCAGCCTGCAGGTGCTTCTATCTCTGCCTGGAGACAGACAAGACGTGTGCCCGATGGAGAAGGTCACCTGTGACATTGTCCATCTTGCTGTTCTGCCTGGACCGCATTCTTCCTAAGAGTCCTCATAGACCCTAGACTGATTAAGGATCCTAGAACAGAGAGCTCAGTATTTGAGCTCAGAAACGGCTGGTTTCTTGGCAGTTTCCTTTTTTGGCTAAAACCCTCCCGAGGTCTCCCTCTGAAAAGGCATCATGACATTGGACATAAAGGCAAAGGTTTCAGAGTCAGTAAACCTAGGTCTGAATCTCAGCACTGT